AGAAAGCTCAGAGACTGCTATTTGCACGTCAGCTTCAGTATACTCTCTCTGGGTTTGTAGTTGTTGAGACATCACGCGTTATTGTTGGGACGTTGTTTTAGTGGGGGAACTGCGGCGCTCGGTGGGGTGCGGCGCTCGGTGGTGAAACACGTTACATCACCTACATTAATGAAAATCATAAAGTAAGAGCAGTTCGAATAAGCTTTTGCCAAATTTTACCCCCTTCCTCTACTAATGCAATGCACGTAAGCGCGCAAAACTTTCTTGTAATTGTGCAGGGCAGGCGGAAAGACAGGGGGCGAGGCGGAACGTGTCTGGAGCGCGGAACCAGCGTGTACCCTGATGGCTGCCACGCAACATCATCATGTCATCAACGTTTTCTTACACAGTACAAATGATTCGCCATTCGAAACCTTTTCGTAAGGAAACATGTACTTCGTTACTAAGAACACATAATATGAAATCTAACACATCCCTTCTTCAATACTGACACGAGCAGTCCGTATTCCAAGTCGCACGACACAACACACACGTCGCATCCCTCCCAGCATCCGCACAATGCCATTCCCAAACCTCAAAACAAAACCTATGCACACTCTTCCCGCACCCGTCTTTACACCACACAGTCTCTTCTTCTCCAGCCTCTGATGCTGCATCTAGCGCATCAAGACATATTGCGCACGCTGTGTCACTAGATCGCCGCGGAACATGATGACAACCTTGGCAATCGCACTCATCATCCCAGTCTGCGCGACAGATAACGCAGGTAGGGTTCCGACCATCTTGTTCGCGTTGTGTGCGCCAGGCTTCGAAGCAGGATTTGTGGACAGGACGGCCGCAGCTGGATTTGCACCAGACTAGGTCTGCGGCGGGGGAGTTGGAGAGAGGACCGCCTTCGTGGCAGATTGGGCAGGGATCGGAGAGGAGGATGCGACAGGTGTGGGGACGGGTGCAAGGCTGTGGTTGAAGAGGGGATGGTGATGATGTGAGGGGATCCGTTGCGTTGTCTGCGGATGAGGGTGTAGCTGTTCTTGAGATTTGAGAGATAGAACTTGGTGGAGTGACAGTCTGAGGTGTCAATTCTGTGGAATCACTGGTGGATGAAGTTGTAGAGTCCTCGTTCGAGTCGGATGGTATCGAGGAACGTCGTGACGGCGCTGGTGAAGAAATTTCAGATACTGAGGTGCTAGTCATGGACGTTGTCTGGACTAGTGGATGATTGTTCGATACAATCTCCAGGAGTTCGTTCGTACACCTCATCGTCTCCTGTATCATGTCGCGGAGGTTCTCAGGCTGAAGAGATGTAGTGGACGATATGGGCGATGCCGTTATGTTGGATGGCGATGAATTACTGACTGAAACCCTGCCAGTTGGAAAAGCTGCGTATATCTTGCTGCTCCACTTGTACACCATGGAATCAACCTGTTGTTGATGGTAACGTACACAGAGTCCATAGCTAGCAAGACGTTCAAGCTGAGGCCGTAGAATTGTAGGATCGGGCGGCTGTTGTGACATATCATCCATGATTGATCTCATCATACTCCAGGACCAATCATTTATGTGTGCCAGGCATTTGCGACGCTTGGAGGGGGCGTAACCAACGCAACGATTATCATCGCAGAGACCTAGGACGTCTCTTGGGCACCATTGCTGACGGCTACGTGTGTTCGAGTCAACAAAAGAGTGCCTGGAAATGTTTAGAGTCATTTTGAAGAAAGCCTAGAGAAAATATGTTAATGTAATGAGTAGATGATTTGCAAAGTGTAGGACACCGAGTACCGCAACATCTCTTCAGTTATACTTGAAAGCGGCCACCATCATACGATCGATCCAACAGCTTGGCTTCTCACTGCCTAGGAGAGCATATTCCTAAGGTAAGAAGAAGGTCATGCGATGTGGCTATGCCGCCAACACATTGAAGGCGAAGCGCCAACTTTGCAGCGAACCAAGCCTGGCTTTCTGCCTACGTGGGATACTCTGGGAGAGTCGAAAGTCAAAGGATCATGATTTCCAAACATTGTAAGCTTTAGAACGAGGCTGTGCGCTTCCACATTAATGCATGCAGTCTGTAATAGTAAGGTAGCACAAGATGTTGGTGAGGCTGATGCGGCGTAGTCATAACGCGCCGTCACCCGACACATTGAGCGTTTCGACGCTTGCTCGCTCGTATGCGTCTATTGGTGCAATTCTCAGCCGAGACAAGTTTGACAAAACTTTGTTCTGTAATGGCTGCTAGCTCAGCGTGGGGAAATTCTTGGAACTTACGTCGGCCGATAAGGAAACTTCCGTTGCGTAATACTATGGACTTGCACTACTGTACTGCCGCACTTGTTCCATCCCTCATGAGTCCTATTGCTCGTGTCAGATCCTCTGTGATATCATGGTCCCAGACCCAGTTCATCCTAGTCAATGCATTTTGCTTGAGTGCTTCAAGGTCATCTCCTACGCCTTCTCCTTCAAGTTCCCACAGCATGCCGGCTTCGCGACTTGTCTTGACGAGTTTCTGGCTGCGTGGTCTCCTCACCGCATCGTATGCGTGAAAAGCCTTCGCAATGTCGCTTTTTGAGGTACATTGAGACAGCAGTTCACTGAGGATGTAGACGTCCTCGATGCCCATTCCAGCGCCCGCCCCTTGGTGAGGTGTTGAAGCATGGGCTGCATCGCCGACAAGACATAGGAGTAGCTTGGTAGAGTAGTAAGTTGGCGCGGGTGGGTGATCAAAGAGTGCCCAAATATCAGGCTTCTGTAGGTTCTCCATGATGGTGCGCACAGCGGGATTCCAGTGTTCGTAGTCGTTCAACATGTCTTCACGAGTCGTCTGCACTACCCATTCTGGTTGGTCCCATGTGGGGCGAGAAGAGAAGGCTACCACTATTGATGTCTTAGCCCGAGTAATTGCGAAAACCAGATGAACCGCTTACCGTTAAAGAGTGTTCCGTTTGCGATGGGAAAGGTAAGTACATGACCACGATAACCCATGTAGAGCTGCGGCGTCTCCGGTGTACCTTTGCCCATTATATCGATAGCCTTGGCCATGGGTATTAGCCCACGGTAGGCGTACTTCCCGGAAAAGACGGCTTTTGATGCCATAGAGTCGCCGAGCAGTATAGATCGCGTGCGCGATTTGATTCCATCGCATCCCAGTACAGCGTCATGCAGTGCCGTTGATCCATCAGTGAAATGAAGAATCACCTTTCCTGAACCATACTCTGCTTCTGTGATGTTTTGCAATCTCTTTCTGAATTGCGCAATACCCTCCGGCAGCAACTTGACTAGTTCATTCAAGAAATGCGCTCGGTGCACCCCTCCTCGAGGGCCTGTCCTTGCTGGCATAACGAAGACCTCCTCCCCTGATGTAACGTCTTTCTTCCGCTCGTCGCCAACCCTCACAGTAAACCACCGCGGTGGTTCCGTCGCCGTATTTCCTTTGCTGCACTTCTCAAATGCAGCTGCAATGCGTGGATCGATGAGTCCCATGGTGCGAACCATGACGGGTTCAAAACCAACCCCTGCACCTATCTCCCCGAATTCGTTGGCAGACTCATAGAGTGTGACAAGAATGTGTGGGCAATTTTTCAGCATCGCGATAGCGAGTGTGAGGCCTGCTATGCCACCCCCGACCACTGCAATGCTGAGGGGATCCGCTGCGGCCGCCATGATGCCCAACTGGAAAAAAATCCTTGCGTGATAGTATGCTGATGTGATGCTCGATGCGAGAGACCAATCGGACCAAAATGTCAGGATATTGGTGAGTGATGTTTCCTTTTGCCACTCGTCTTTGCACTATTAGAAACAGGTGCGGTACTGTAATAGAAGGGCCTATGGAAAAGTTATCATGCCACCGGGAGTAAACGCTTAGACACGATATTGGGTACCCGGCCATATGCAGCACACTCTCCCTGTAACTGTCTAACTGGGTGGGGATTTAGAAACGATGCGCTAAATTTTAGTGCTGCTCCTGACAAGCATTAGTACACCCCGGCTACTGCACCCAGGTACTGATCAGACCCGAGTGGTGGATTTCCGGGTTGTCAGGGTCAGGGCGAGAATAACTTTGGTACTTTTGTGACGTCTGACACGTTTGGAACACGAGAGTATGCAGTGTATATCTATTATTATTATCTTTTTTTTTCTCTAGAATGCAGCGCTTGACATTACTCCCGAACGACCTTGACATCCGTAGTGACGGTGATGCCCTCGAAAACAAGGTCCTCACTTCCGCTCTCACTACTTCGAGGCCGGCTCGTCGTAATGTGTGCTACTGTTTTTTTGCCCTCCATGATGTGTTCCTGGCTCTCGCTAGGGCTGATGTCTGCATATGTGTCTGGCCGCCCCCTGCTCCCGCTCTTAACATTGCCCATGGCATAGGAATGGGAGGTGTCCGTTCCTCCTGGTCCCCTTGCCGCACTGAGAGCATTGCCTGTAGGTCTGCTGTTGCCATACTGCTGATACCCACTGCTTGCCCCCCTGGTACTTCTCCATTTTCTGGGCCACAATGCCGCGATAGCTTTGCGCAGACTAATCAGACATGCGCAAATGACGCCAGTCGCAGCTTCGATGAAGCTCCATAGATTTGTTGGAGCAGACTCCCAGGTGGGGTCCTTGGTTCTGAGGGTCAACGGCAGCGTTCCCATGCGAAGAGCGGTCGTTAAGCAGATGAAGAAACCCATGGAGAAGAGGACTACAAGGCCAACTCGTGAGCCCAGAGACATGTTGAGGCGCACGATGATTGGCATTGGAAGGATGAATATTGCGATGTCAGTGATGAGATTTGTGATTGCGTTGGACCAGCTGTGAAGATAGTCAGTACTGGCCATACAAACGTCTGGTGTAGTCCTTACCGGTGTCCAAAGAAGCTGATACATGTTCCTGGTATTGAACGATCGTACACGCGGGCTATCGGTGTACATTGGAAGATCACAACGAATATGTATGATATCGTCCATCCAACTGATACCGCACCGAAGATCTTGCAGATCAGTCGAAAGCGGGGCATGGGGAACACGCGGTAGTACAAGGCAATGAAAGCCATTTTGTTGAAGCCATTCGTCAGAGTGTAGAAGACTTGCGTGAGCCAGAAGAACTGCAGACAGCCTGTCAGCTGGTTTTCAAAGTCATTACATCCACTTCACTGACCTTGATCGCCTTCTTAAAGTTACCGCCAGACTTTTCTATGTCGGCACCTTTCAGTCCAAATCCATAGATTGTAGCCATATAGACGCATATGGCGAAGGCTATCAGCCACATCTGTCTTCTGTCAGTGTCTGTCTGCAGAACTCGCACTCGAACGCTTACGTTTGCTGTAATGACCAGTGCATCTTCGATCCCCAACCAGCCCCTATTCTTGAATGTGATGGACAAGCGACATATCAAGAGAATGGTAGCGATGGAGGTCAAGGTTACAGTAACCCATCGCAAATCATGTTGCTCACCCGGATAGGCGCTGTACATTCTCGTTTGAGCGGTGAAGTCTTACAGGCGGCCGAACCAAAGGCATGCGGAGATCGACAGAGCATCTAGTCATTCAGGTAGACTTATAGCAGATCCCTTGCTTCTCATTGACAGTTGTGCTGGAAATGCCCAGCGTTTTGTCTCCACGGGTGATAATATCTAGTTTGGGCTGTACCGGTCTGTGCATAGACTTCCTCGTTCCACTATGCATGACAAGGTATACACACTTATTTATGTAGCATAGCCTCTTCACAGCTGGGACTACGGCTTGCGCTTCAAGTTCCGCAATGCGCTATACCCATCGCAATACATGCCTGGTACACGCCCAAAACCGGACCGTTTCTTACATTGAAATCCTTCGAATGACTGTGCAGCAGAGACGAAATTTTTCTAACAAATGGAACACTTCGGAACCAATGATGATTTCCGGGTGGAATCCTTCCGTATGTAGGTACCCACTATGGCTGGTAGCTGAAGGAGCACCTTACTGGAAGGGAAGGCTTGAAAGAAAGGCCGAGCGGCCTTATATGACCTTGGCCGCATCGCTTGCTGTGGGTTTCGCATAGGGTTCTGGAGTACGGAGCGGAACGCATTCTCTATTTCGCCGAACACGAGATTGCGCAGCAGAATCCTTGCACCCGCACGGTGGTGTCGTTTGGTTCTGCACAAGGAGAGCTTCGTGGCGCTCCCGCCCTCACCCATTGAAATCTATGACGAAAACATTTCAGCTGTGTTTCCATGTCGCCTATAAGAATCCTATAGGGACAGATAAGCTCAGGGTGGCGTACTCTAGACGGAGAATTTCAGGCGGACGGAAGAATAGTAAGTTTAACTACTGTTACACCTTTTGCCCGGGCCGTCGCGTGGGGATGAACAAGCCGCTCCGGCGGGATGGGACATTTCTACTCCGACCCGCGATTTTGGCGTTTACCAAGACATAGCGCTGCACTATTGACAGTCAGACACGATATACCGTACTTCTACCGAAGGTGATTGGCGAATGAGCCGCTGGGTCGGGTACTGATCGTAAATCAGCATGATAGACGGAGGTCCAGGCCTTGAAGCATCTGATGCCGAACCCTGAAGAGCTCGGCAGCGAGAAAAGTGGCTCGTTAATACACCACCAACGAATGAGCGACTGGCATACTAATGCGGTGAGTGATCCGTAGCATGGTTAGTTGTCGAATCTCCTTGCGGCACCCCCGAATATCACCCCATCTTTTGAACGCTTGGGGGTACTTCGGTGCTTCTAGAACAGCAAGACCATCTCAATCCAAACCGTTCGCCGTTGGTATCTCGCTTGGAGATTTTACCTCAGTTTTTGTCCTGCACGCGGCTAAATGCCATGTGTTTGGGGTTGGCCATTATCTTCTGCAGTCGCCCCTGTCCTTGCTTGCATTGCAGGCCTGCTGGTTACTCAAGACACAGTATTGTGCAGCTATAATCTACGGCCTTACCCCGCCTAACCTCTGCAATCACCATCTACAATGGCCGAACCCAGCTCAATCGAAAAGGGCGCCTTCGTCCAGGGCTCATCCGTGTCTTCGCCTGGTTCGACGACCGAAGAAGTCTCTTTTGATCCCGCTGCTGAGCGCAAGCTTTTGCGAAAGCTCGACATCAGGATCTTGCCTGTACTATGGATCCTCTATCTTGTCAACTTCATCGACCGGTAGGAGTTCTCTCTCATCTCTCACCTGCAAAACTAACTCAATTCTCCAGCGCCAACATTGGAAATGCGAAAATCGCGGGCATGGAGAAGGAGCTGAACCTCATCGGCCAGCGCTTCAACATCTGTGTGTGGGTCTTTAACCTTGGCTACCTTGTTGCTGGTATTCCGCTTCAAATTGCGTTCAAGCATTATGGGCCAAAATCCCTCTGTGTCATGATGTTCTTTTGGGGCATCACAGTCATCGGACAGGGAAATGTCAAGCGATGGGAAGAAATGGTTGTTTGCCGTCTGCTCACTGGCTTCGCTGAAGCGGCCTTCATCTCTGGCTGTGCCTATCTGATCGGCGCATACTACTCCAAGCGCGAGTATCTTACACGCTATGTCTACTTCCTTACGGCCGGTATCATCGCCGGTGCTATCAACGGATTTCTCTCGTCGTTGATCTCTAAGATGAGCGGTACTGCTGGCTATGCCGCATGGCGATGGTAAGTCGACTTTGCGCATGCATTCGAGCGGCAGTTACTAACTCGAAAAAGGATTTTTATCATCGAAGGTTGCATTACAGTCTTCATCAGCATCATCACCTGGCCATTTATTCCTCCGTTCCCAGAAGACTGCAATTTCTTGTCTCCTGAAGAAAAGGCTCTTATGCTTGCACGAGTGAAGGCTGATGGAGGCCATGTGTCTGACGATGAAATCACACTCAAGAAGGCTCTCGAGTACCTGAAAGACTGGAAGATCTGGACTGGGTAAGCTAATATCGTTCAATTGCTTGAACGCCAATACTGACAAACCGACAGTGTCGCAATGAACCTCGGAGTCACAGAAAACGCAAACTCGCTCGCCAACTTCCAGCCGACTATCCTCAAAGGCCTCGGCTACACTGCGATCCAGGCTCAAGTCCACACCATCCCCGTATACCTGGTCGGTGCTGCCTTCTCCGTCATCTTCGCTTATGCAAGTGAGCGTCTGCAGCGCCGCTACCTTTTCTACATCTTTGGCTGGGCGGTTCTCGCAGTTGGTCTCATCGTTGAGATTGCACACCCGCCAAACCCCAAGGTACGATACATGGGCATGTTCTTCATCGCATGCGGCTGCTACCTCGCCATGCCCATCTCCATCATCTGGGTCTCTATGAACTGCGGCAGCGGCTACAAGCGCGCCGTAGCCATCGCCGCAATCATCAACTTTGGCACCGCCGGCGCCTTCGTCAGCTCCAACGTTTTCCTCTTCAACGAAGCCCCCCGGTTCCGTACTGGTTTCAGCACTGGTCTCGGTCTAGCGTGCTTGGGTGCCATTGCCGCGACCATAACCTGGTACGGCTGCAAGAAGGAGAACAAGAGGCGCGACCAAAAGAGGCTCGAGTTGCCCGAGGTCTTGGATCAGAGCATGAAGGAGTTGGGCGACGAGCACCCAGACTTCCGCTTTGCCTTGTAGACAGTTTTTCCCAGAAATCAGTGTAGCTGGCTACTTATCATTAGATAATTATACTACCGCTCACCGCGGCAACACAACATAATAGACCTAGAATAGAGCATATAAATATATCAAGCAGATTGTGCTCCCCATGTTTGGGTCGCAATCTTGCGAAAATTGAATAGACTGAATCTTGAAAGATATTGATTGGAAGGGGCGAGACTCTTGATGTGCAGCAGTACTTGCATGGCGCTAAGACGGAACGCAGTCGCACGGTACACCCTTTGGACTCGCGCGAACCACTCATAAAAATGGCTCATGCGCATCGTGCTGTACACATGTAATAAACCAGAGTAAGCACGGGGACTGGTTTCATCACGGCCGTACGCTATGTGTGCAATGTGGGCTATGCATAGTATGAAAACTGGAGGCTCCTGTGGATCTTGAAAGCATGTGTGGGGTGGTTGATGAATAC